GGCTGACATTACCCAGCCTGGAGGTACAGTAAGTGCCAGTGTCTTTATGGCAGCAGCTCAGATCCCATCCGGAGCATCCATCGTTTGCTACCTGCATGAGAAATGCAACAGGTTTCTGTCCTGTGTGTATTGGACAAACATCCACATCCCAGCGGAACCACCATCCTTTGCACTGAACAGGTTGCCACGGGTCAAAAGAGACCATGGACGACTTTGGCTCTGCCCAAGAGAGGAAGGCAGGCCAGATAGGAATAGACAGATTTGGAGACGAGCATCAGGAAAGCTTTTTATTCCAAACAAGTCAGCATCATTCAGGAACAGAAGGATACATCTGCCATATGGCAAGAGTGACCGTTCAGGCAGCAGGAAGAAGTCTTCTAAGAAGTCTTCTGTGCCAACAGAAGACTTAGTGTGACAACAGGGAACCACAGCACCACATGGAGAGACCCTTTCTGAGGGACTTCGATGCCCCTGAACTAGAGCACTGTACAGACAAAGCACCAAATCCCGCGAGTCCTCACTTGCTCACTCAGGCACTGGTCTGGGTGACTCTGTCACACAGAGAGACATTACCACGGCCAGAGACGTGCCAGTTGGGAACCAAGCCTCATCTCCTGAAGGTCAGGAGCCCCCCAGCACCTGCACAACAACGTTAGGAAACCTTCCTCCCAACTTAGTACTTCAACTCGGTGCTCCCCAAAGCCCGCCACGAGCACTTGGGAAATCCCAGATACTGCAGAGCTGTGACCTGCAGAGCCACCCCAAAGGCACAGCTCAGACACTGACACAGGTCACCCACAGGTCAGCAGAGAAGAGCTTGTTCCTGCAGGTTCAAACCACCTGCTGCCTTCAGGCATTTTAGTTCCACCAGGAGCAATCACCTGGTCGGGAAATTCTGCAAGTGACAAGTCTTCCCAACCTCGATTTTCGCCTAAGCCCGTGCAACTCAGCCAACAGAAAGAGGGTTCTTGTGGAAGGAGACCTCAGTGGGACGCCCTCCAGGACACACAACCACCTCCTTGGCTTCATAGCGATATTTAATCCCTGCTTTGACCCAATGTTCACATTTAAAAGAATTTCTTGCCACGTTCATCTGAAGTGGAAAACGTCAACCCACAGAGCTGGAGTTCCCCAGAGCTGCTGCTGTCCGTGAGGTCATGTCGCGACTGCGGTGCTGCAGCTCCACTGCTCCTCCACGCCCAGACAACTGCCCCACGTGCTCAGCAATGCCCTCCTACGGGTCAGGAGTCCCCAGCCTCTGTTTCACCATCAAGTACTGCAGAAGGAAGAAAACCAAGTGTTAATGATTAAATCCCAGAGACCCAGAAGTAGGAAAGCCTCATGGATTAGCCAGCAAAATCCTTGCGTTTAGCCAGAAGATGCAGGAGTCCCACCTTGCAAGCAATGCCAAGAGCAGCTCACTAAGCTGCCCAGTGCCCGGGTACACACTGCTGCACGGTACGGACCGGGTAGTTACCGAAGTACCAACGTCCCTGCAGCAGGCCAGGAGCAAAGCTCGTAACCAGATCTAAACAGCTCCTGCTTTCCTTCATCATTCCCTTTTTTTTTTCCCCAAAGAAGAGGGAAAAAAAAAAAAAAGGGCAGTGCCATCATCTGATCCAATCCTTGGGTAACTGAACCATCAGCGTTCAGCCCCAGTCCCACCACAGACGGCCCCACTCCAGCTGCGGACAGGCACTGGTCTGATCCAGTGTTTTGGAAGAGGCAGGGTCAGGCTCTTACGTTTTCACGGCTGGCAATAGCTTGTTGCAACCACAGCAACTCCATGATCAAGTGCTTTCTGTAGGACTGGAGCCCAGCCCGAGTTCGAGGAAGCTCCTTTAGGTCCTCAAGTGGAATTCCTGCAAAGAGATGGAAGCTCCAGCTGCGGACAGGCACTGGTCTGATCCAGTGTTTTGGAAGAGGCAGGGTCAGGCTCTTACGTTTTCACGGCTGGCAATAGCTTGTTGCAACCACAGCAACTCCATGATCAAGTGCTTTCTGTAGGACTGGAGCCCAGCCCGAGTTCGAGGAAGCTCCTTTAGGTCCTCAAGTGGAATTCCTGCAAAGAGATGGAAGAATAACCTGTTATTAGAACAAATCATAGAATGGTTTGGGTTGGAAGGGACCTCAAAGATCATCTAGTTCCAACCCCCCCACCATGGGCAGGGACACCCTCCACTACACCAAGTTTTTTGGAGGTTTTATTTGTAGCATATAAATACACTTCCAGGGATGGGGCAGCCACAGCTTCTCTGGGAAACCTGTTCCAGTGCCTCACCACCCTCAGAGTGAAAAATTTCTTCCTTATATCCAATCTAAATCTGCCCTCTTTCAGTTTAAATCCATTGCCCCTTTTCCTGTCACTACATGCCCTTAGAAAAAGTCCCTCTCCAGCTTTCCTGTAGCCCCTTTAGGTACTGGAAGGCTGCAATAAGATCCCCCCGGAGCCTCCTCTTCTCCAGGCTGAACAGCCCCAACTCTCCCAGCCTGTCTCCATAGCAGAGGTGCTCCAGCCCTCGGATCATCTTCATGGCCTCCTCTGGATCCACTCCAGCAGCTCCATGTCCTTCTTGTGTTGGGGACCCCAGAGCTGAACGCAGTATTCCAGGTGGGGTCTCAGGAGAGCAGGCAAAGACTCAGATCGCACCTACTGTCTGTCTTGCACTAAGCTGTTGTAACCTTTCCAGGATATTCTCAAGGTTTTGGTTCTCCAAGGACCGACTGTGCCCCCAGCGCTCACCACCCGCGCGCACAGACCGCTCAGGAGAGCACGCAGCCCCGGGCCACGCTTGCACCAGCTCCAGTCTCTTACCCAGGCAGGCTTCCAGGGACTCTGCCTCTGGGAGAGCGCCATCCCACACGGAGGATACACTGCTGTCGTTGTGCCAGTCCTCGCTCTCTGCTGGGGCACCGCGCCCCTTCCCAGGGCATTTATCGGTGCCAGCCCCGAGTTCTGGGGGGCTCCCTGCATCGCCGTCACCGGCGCAGCTCAGTTCTTTCTCGCCGTGTAGCTGGGCTGCGGGTTTCACGTGGCTGCAGCCCCAGTCCCGTTCTGGTTCAGAGGCGTCCAGCTCCTCCTGGGGTTCTTCCGCCCTGGCCTCATCCCTCGGTGCTGTGTCCTGCAGGCCCGAACGCTTCCCGTGCGTTGGCTTCTGAAGGGGCAACGTGCGAGAGAGCGAAACACACGGAAAAGAGAACAGCAGGATCTGAAAAGCGGC